TTCCCAACCTCAGATTTTGTTTGCACAAAGACACCAAGTGGTAGGGACAAAGGTTTTAGGACTTTTCTCCCCCTTTGTGCCAAATGTTCCTTTGAACATAGAAGAGACTAGGACTTTACTCCTACTCTTTCGTTTAACAGATCATGGGACTTTTTTCCCTTTTTATTTTTATTTTAACAGATCAGGAGACTTTCCTCCCCCCTTTGTTATTTTAATAGATCAGGGGACTTTTCTCCCTCCTTTGTTGTTTTAACAGATCATGAGACTTTTCTCCCGTCCTTTTTTTTTATATATTTAAGACGAACCCCCATGTAATAGTTTTTGACCACAGAACTGAATAGAGTGGAAGGACACGAGGAAAACTGTACGAGAATGATAAGTAGCTCTTTTCCTGAGACAATATACCGATATGAGGTTTTAAAGGGTGATATAGAACAGGGACAAAACCCAAATTGCTACCTCCAATCAACATGGATGGATCACCCTACCTGTTGAGACACAAGAAGTGATTAGTGCTTACTGAGAACACGAGTGTTGTGTTTCTCAGTAGTATATTTTACAACTACACTCTCAATACTCATTTTTCTAACTAAGGATCTTACCCTAGAGACACAATTGTCATTGTTGCCGTACTTGATCTTTACTTGCTTCGGAAGAAGGGTAAAAGACAGATCATACCAGAAACGAGTGGCCGAGGTAGTTATCTCATTATGAATCCTATTGACAGCCGTGTTACAGAGTGCATCCTGTTGGTTATCATAGTGACACATGATTTCTTGAAGTGGAGCAACTTTGTAATATATACGTCGTGGGTTTCTCCTAACTTTTTCAGAAGAAAAAGTATGCTTGTTAATCAAAAAAGTGTTAAATGAAGAATTCATACTTTGGGATTTTCTTGATGAGGATTGATGAAGCGGATTCCATATTGAGTTATTGTTGAGATTTTGTAGCTCGCTAAGATAATTTGTTGACCAGTTGAATGGGTTGAGTATTGTATGATAGCATCGTGTTCCAAACAGGGTTTGTGCTACATCAGAACCCTTTTGTAACCCTCTTTGAGAATCTTGCCC